ATGCGATTAAGTAGATTAAAGCGATAAAGACTTGAATTAAACTTGAATGTAAAGACAATTGAAATTAAATTGCAAGAATGTAAAGCTTACAGTAGGAAAATGAAGAACTTGGATAATCTGAAAAGCTTGAAAAGATAAAATCCTAGACTATGAATTGAAAAGTACATGATGAAAAGATAGATTTTGGGTGTTCAGTTGGCGGTCCTTCTTTCTTCATCTGATGTTCTATTTATAGAGCTCCTCAGCTCATGGGTTTGGTCATTCAACTAACTCTGCCTTGGAAATCTTCCCAATATTAATGCTTTCGGGAGCTCTAGGCACGAACTGCCCGATGTCTTGGAAATCTTCCCAATATTAATGTCTTCCTATCTTTAAACTCCGCCACTTGTAGGAAAACATCTGCTGGAACTTGTAGGCTGGGCTTTGGACTTGATGAAGACTCCCACCAACATTAAGTGGCATGTGAACTCCAAATATTTGATATCGGCCGCATGATGAATTCTCCAAATATTTGGAAATTCTAACCTTGGTTGAGAACTTGTTGGCAAAGGAATTCTCTATTTTTTGTTTATATGGCCATACCTTGAGTAATTATATTAAATTCCAAATATATATATATAAGCCTAAAATAGGATGAATAAGGCTTAAACTTGGGAGCTGGCCGCACATGCACATTCATCTACTTATATATACTTATATATATATATATATGATATTATATTATCACAATATATGAGATGGAGGGTTTAAACTTGGGAGCCTCCAGCCGCATTCATATAATATATATATGTATATAAGACAAAAAACTTCAGCCCAGCTTGCACAAAAAATCCATGCGCCCTATCTACTCCAAAAACCAAATACCCGGCCGACATATATATATGTATATATGATTAAGTTTCCTACTCAAAGCCCTTCAGCCCAGTTTGTAAAGAAACTAAATACCCGGCCGACATATTCCAAAATTGTGTTCGCTCAAAACCAAAAAACAACTAGCCGCAATTTCTAGCAAACCCCAGCCGAGATATCCCAAGCATCACAATCCGACCGCAATCTTTTCGCAAGCCTTAAACCCCGGCCGAATTTGAACAATTCTCGGCCGCCATTCTTTACCCAGCTTTCCTAGCTTCACCCGGCTGCAAACTTGTGTAGCCCAAATTGCTACGACCTCCAAACTTCAAGGTCCCGGCCACATCAATTCCAAAGAACTCCAAGCTTTGGCCGTATTCATGCATGCATCCACCCATTTATATATATATAAATGAATATATCAATATGATATGCCCAATCACTTTAGCCCAACTTTTTTGCAAGAGTAGTGTTCAGCCAACTTCAAAGATACGCCCAATCTCTTTTGCAAAAGAAGACACCTTGGCCACCTTTTTTGAGAAAACACTCGGCCACCTTTTATCCGCCTCTATGAATTCTTCCTATTATATATCTATATGTAATAGGACAAAACTCAAAAACTCTTCGGCCGAACCAATTCCATAAACTCCAAACTTTGGCAACACTTATTCATCCACTTTGTATATATAATAGCATAAGGAAAGAACTTTTCAGCCACATTGGCAGACCATCTAAATGCTCCAACCATGCTTTTCCCATTTATCCACCTATAATACAATAACTTTTCTTCAGCCCACTTCTCTTCAGCCAACTTCTTCAAGACCCAAAACCGAGGGTACTGTTCATAAATCCAGAAGTCATATTTAGGAAGCTCCGATCAGAAAACTTCCTTCATGAAAGTTGTTCGTCTACCTGAGGACTAAAATCTGTGAAACTTGTAGATTTTTCTGAATTTTCCTGATGCCTCAAAACGGGTTTGCAGCTTTTGTGTTCAGCCACGGCTGGTGGGTTTCTGCAGACTCGGTTTCTGCATTTGATTTTAATACGTGATTCTCGGATGGTTGTGCTTGCTTCACGAAACTTGCTCGAAATTATGTTGGCTATAACATATCCAAAATTGAAGATCATCCAACCGTTGTAGTGCCCCCTGCCTTCATTTTTCTGAAGTAAGGATTTGGAGGCTACTTGATTTAGCTTGGATTTGGAGACCACATCCAAACAGATTTTCAACAGCCCCAAACATGACTTAATCATCTAAAGCTTCCATTCATGTTAAGGCAATCAATTCTACTCAGCCCCCAATATAGGTGCCTGTGTGCACATGTAGTGCATATATGCAAATGTGAACGGAAGCCTAATTGTATAGTATATCTAGACAGAGATATTTTAACACTTAAAAGCATTCAACTTGTTCTGCACCGAAATCATGGAGAAGCTAAATACCTGATAATCCTGGGAATTTTGATTTCTCCGTGGGCCTGAAATGTAAAATATGATACTTCAATTGTTGGAAAAATAGGCAAATATCAAGTGTAAAGTAAATGAGTGGGAACAGAATCCACACCAAACGACATTAGGAGCAAAAAAGGATCGAAATTGAGGAGAAAACAGAATTAACATCACTTTTAGTCAAACTCAGAAGAAACATGCAAGTACACGGTCCTTCAAAGATTTTAAGTTTACAATACACTGTCACAAGGTTACATCAGTGGAGTTTAATATATACAGCCCATGTTACCTATAAGGGCTCATTTGGCCTGCCATATATTTTGAAGTTGTACATACAGGTTTCATCACACGATGGTTTTAAATTTTTAATTAACAGGGTGAACCATGGTGGCCGCATGGAGAGATCAAGTAGCTCTAAACAACAGAAAGTTTGAATTCAAAAGAATATGAAATGAAAAAGAGCAAGTACAACAATATAAAAGCTTTTGTATAAGTAAAATGTATTATTAGAAAACTCCAAGAGGAAACAAACCAAGGACGAGTAAACATTGTAACAGTGGGTCCTATCATTAAAATTCAGAAAAGGTGGTTGCCAAAAACCTACGTCCATGAATTTGACGCCTACCCATGTATGAAGTAATAATCCTTGGAACTGGAATGAAACCATTATGCAAAATAACAAACTTTTTAACAATCAAACACCTAATCATTAACTTCTTCTTTTCAAGAGGAAAAATATATGTCAACTAACTCTATGAGTCACCACTAGGCCTCTATATCATCTATGTTACTGGTCCCTGCAGGCCCTATAATGTTTTAATCCATCCATAAAGAGAAGAACAACTAGAGAATGCTCTAAGACTATCTTACCTTCGGAAACTTCATCACCAATGAACATAATAGTCACTAATTCATTGTTTTATTCTCTAAATAACATTTTTCCAGTCTTCCGGGCCTCTAATATAGGACCCAGAAAAGAGAAAACCAGAGCATAATCATGATACCTATTGCCACCCAAAAAAGAAAAAAAAAACACTTGGAACTTACATTCTATGGGGTTGTTGCGCGTAGAAGTGTTTGCATTTCCTTCCCATTCTGAATTCACTGCCACATTTTGTTCACTAGTCGTTGTTGAAGAGCTCTGCAAAAGCCTTCTTTGTTCACCATCTCTTGGGTAAGGATCATTCAACTCATAAGCATGACCAAAACCAAGATCATAATATGAAGTATTCCCAGGTTCAGATAACCCAAACTTGTAATAATTTGTATTCATTGTTCCGTAAGCACTCTCCTACACACATAAGAAGGAAAAATCTTATCGTACATGGAACAAGATGTAAGGTGTATTGCATAGTTCTAGCGATTGGATTTCACTCAAAACTCACCAAACGACTCCTCCCACCATATTATGATGTTGCCCAAGTTTTGGGCTCGATCCGATATCAATAGAGGTAAGAGATTGGACAATTCAACTTGAAAGGCAGTTCGTTCCAAATTGGATTGGTTGGTGTTTTGCATAGTTCTAGCGATTGGATTTCACTCAAAACTCACCAGATGACTCCTCCCACCACATTATGATGTTTCCCAAGATTTGGGCTCGATCTGATATCAATAGGTCTAAGAAATTGGACAATTCAATTTGAAAGGCAGTTCGTTCCAAATTGGAGTGGTTGGTGTATTGCATAGTTCTAGCGATTGGATTTCACTCAAAACTCACCAAATGACTGCTCCCACCATATTATGATGTTTCCCAAGATTTGGGCTCGATCCGATATCAATAGGTGTAAGAAATTGGACAATTCATGTTCCAACGCAGTTCGTTCCAAATTGGAGTGGTTGGGGTATTGCATAATTCTAGCGATTGGATTTCACTCAAAACTAGCCAAATGACTCCTCCCACCATATTATGATGTTGCCCAAGTTTTGGGCTCGATCCGATATCAATAGAGGTAAGAAATTGGACAAATCAATCTGAAAGGCAGTTCGTTCAAAATTGGAGTGGTTGGTGTAGTGCGCAGTTCTAGCGGTTGGATTTCACTCAAAACTCACCAAATGACTCCTCCCACAATATTATGTTGTTGCCCAAGTTTTGGGCTCGATCCGATATCAATAGAGGTAAGAAATACGACAATTCCACTTGAAAGGCAGTTCGTTCCAAATTAGACTGGTTGGTGTATTGCATAGTTCTAGCGATTGGATTTCACTCAAAACTCCCCAAATGACTCCTCCCACCATATTATGTTGTTTCCCAAGATTTGGGCTCGATCCGATATCAATAGGTCTAAGGAATTGGACAATTCAAGTTCCGACGCAGTTCGTTCCAAATTGGAGTGGTTGATGTATTGCATAGTTCTAGCGATTTAATTTCACTCAAAACTCACCGAATGACTCCTCCCACCATATTATGATGTTTCCCAAGATTTGGGGTCGATCCGATATCAATAGGAGTAAGAAATTGGACAATTCAAGTTCCAACGCAGTTCGTTCCAAATTGGAGTGGTTGGTGTATTGCATAGTTCTAGCAATTGGATTTCATTCAAAACAAGCCAAACGACTCCTCCCACCATATTATGATGTTGCCCAAGTTTTGGGCTCGATCCGATATCAATAGGTCTAAGGAATTGGACAATTCAAGTTCCGACGCAGTTCGTTCCAAATTGGAGTGGTTGGTGTATTGCATAGTTCTAGCAATTGGATTTCATTCAAAACAAGCCAAACGACTCCTCCCACCATATTATGATGTTGCCCAAGTTTTGGGCTCGATCCGATATCAATAGGTCTAAGGAATTGGACAATTCAAGTTCCGACGCAGTTCGTTCCAAATTGGAGTGGTTGGTGTATTGCATAGTTCTAGCAATTGGATTTCATTCAAAACAAGCCAAACGACTCCTCCCACCATATTATGATGTTGCCCAAGTTTTGGGCTCGATCCGATATCAATAGGTCTAAGGAATTGGACAATTCAAGTTCCGACGCAGTTCGTTCCAAATTGGAGTGGTTGGTGTATTGCATAGTTCTAGCAATTGGATTTCATTCAAAACAAGCCAAACGACTCCTCCCACCATATTATGATGTTTCCCAAGATTTGGGCTCGATCCAATATCAATAGGTGTAAGAAATTGGACAATTCAATTTGAAAGGAAGTTCGTTCCAAATTGGAGTGGTTGGTGTATTGCATAGTTCTAGCGATTGGATTTCAGTCAAAACTAGCCAAATGACTCATCCCACCATATTATGATGTTGCCCAAGTTTTGGGCTCGAACCGATACGACTAGAGGTAAGAAATTGGACAATTCAACTTGAAAGGCAATTCGTTCCAAGTTGGAGTGGTTGGTGTATTGCATAGTCCTAGCGATTGGATTTCACTCAAAACTCACCAAGTGACTCCGCCCACTGTATTATGATGTTTCCCAAGTTTTGGGCACGATCCGATATCAATAGGTGTAAGAAATTGGACAATTAAAGTTGTAACGCAGTTCGTTCCAAATTGGAGTGGTTGGTGTATTGCGTAGTTCTAGCTATTGGATTTCCCTCAAAACGTACCAAATGTCATCTCACGTCCCACAATATTATGATGTTTCCCAAGTTTTGGGCTCGATCCGATATCAGTAGAGATAAGATATTGGACAATTCAACTTGAAAGGCAGTTCGTTCCGAATTAGAGTGGTTGGTGTATTGCATAGTTCTAGAGATTGGATTTCGCACAAAACTTACCAAATGACTCCTCCCACCATATTATGATGTTCCCCAAGATTTGGGCTCGATCCGATATCAATAGGTGTAAGAAATTGAACAATTCATTTTGAAAGGCAGTTCGTTCCAAATTTGAGTGGTTGGTGCATTGCATAGTTCTAGCAAATGGATTTCATTCAAAACAAGCCAAACGACTCCTCCCACCATATTATGATGTTGCCCAAGTTTTGGGCTCGATCCGATATCAATAGGTGTAAGAAATTGGACAATTCAAGTTCCAACGTAGTTCGTTCCAAATTTGAGTGGTTGGTGTATTGCATAATTCTAGCGATTGGATTTCACTCAAAAACTCCAAATGACTCCCCCCACCATGTTATGATGTTGCCCAGGTTTTGGGCTCGATCCGATGTTAATAGAGGTAAGAAATTGGGCAATTCAACTTGAAAGGCAGTTCGTTCCAAATTGGAGTGGTTGGTGTATTGCATAGTTCTAGCAATTGGATTTCACTCAAAACTCACCAAAAGACTCCTCCCACCATATTATGATGTTTCCCAAGATTGGGGCTCGATCCGATATCAATAGGTGTAAGAAATTGGACAATTCAAGTTCCTATGCAGTTCGTTCCAAATTCCAATGGTTGGTGTATTGCATAGTTCTAGCGATTGGATTTCACCCGAAATCCACCAAATGATTCCTCCCACCATATTATGATGTTTCCCAAGATTGGGGCTCGATCCGATATCAATAGGTGTAAGAAATTGGACAATTCAAGTTCCTATGCAGTTCGTTCCAAATTCCAATGGTTGGTGTATTGCATAGTTCTAGCGATTGGATTTCACCCGAAATCCACCAAATGATTCCTCCCACCATATTATGATGTTTCCCAAGATTGGGGCTCGATCCGATATCAATAGGTGTAAGAAATTGGACAATTCAAGTTCCTATGCAGTTCGTTCCAAATTCCAATGGTTGGTGTATTGCATAGTTCTAGCGATTGGATTTCACCCGAAATCCACCAAATGATTCCTCCCACCATATTATGATGTTTCCCAAGATTGGGGCTCGATCCGATATCAATAGGTGTAAGAAATTGGACAATTCAAGTTCCTATGCAGTTCGTTCCAAATTCCAATGGTTGGTGTATTGCATAGTTCTAGCGATTGGATTTCACCCGAAATCCACCAAATGATTCCTCCCACCATATTATGATGTTTCCCAAGATTGGGGCTCGATCCGATATCAATAGGTGTAAGAAATTGGACAATTCAAGTTCCTATGCAGTTCGTTCCAAATTCCAATGGTTGGTGTATTGCATAGTTCTAGCGATTGGATTTCACCCGAAATCCACCAAATGATTCCTCCCACCATATTATGATGTTTCCCAAGATTGGGGCTCGATCCGATATCAATAGGTGTAAGAAATTGGACAATTCAAGTTCCTATGCAGTTCGTTCCAAATTCCAATGGTTGGTGTATTGCATAGTTCTAGCGATTGGATTTCACCCGAAATCCACCAAATGATTCCTCCCACCATATTATGATGTTTCCCAAGATTGGGGCTCGATCCGATATCAATAGGTGTAAGAAATTGGACAATTCAAGTTCCAACGCAGTTCGTTCCAAATTCCAGTGGTTGGTGTATTGCTTAGTTCTAGCAAATGGATTTCACTCAAAACTCACCAAAAGACTCCTCCCACCATATTATGACATTTCCCAAGATTTGGGCTCGATCCGATATCAATAGGTGTAAGAAATTGCACAATTCAAGTTCCAACGCAGTTCGTTCCAAATTGGATTGGTTGGTGTACTGCATAGTTCTAGGGGTTGGATTTCACTCAAAACAAGCCAAATGACTCCTCCCAACATATTATAAACTCACCAAATGACTCCTCCCACCATATTATGTTGTTTCCCAAGATTTGGGCTCGATCCGATCTCAATAGTTGTAAGAAATTGGACAATTCCATTTGAAAGGCAGTTCGTTCCAAATTGGATTGGTTGGTGTTTTGCATAGTTCTAGGGATTGGATTTCACTCAAAACTAGCCAAATGACACCTCCCATCGTATTATGATGTTGCCCAAGTTTTGGGCTCGATCCGATTTGAATAGAGGTAAGAAATTGGACAATTCAACTTGAAAGGCAATTCGTTCCAAGTTGGAGTGGTTGGTGTATTGCATAGTTCTAGCGATTGGATTTCACTCAAAACTAACTAAATGACTCCTCCCACCATATTATGCTGTTTCCCAAGTTTTGGGGTCAATCCGATATCAATAGGTGTAAGAAATTGCACAACTCAAGTTCCAACGCAGTTCGTTCCAAATCGGAGTGGTTGGGGTATTACATAATTCTAGCGATTGGATTTCCCTCAAAACTCACCAAATGCCTCCCCCCACCATATTATGATGTGTCGCAAGATTTGGGCTCAATCCGATATCAATAGGTGTAAGAAATTGCACAACTCAAGTTCCAACGCAGTTCGTTCCAAATCGGAGTGGTTGGGGTATTACATAATTCTAGCGATTGGATTTCCCTCAAAACTCACCAAATGCCTCCCCCCACCATATTATGATGTGTCGCAAGATTTGGGCTCAATCCGA